AGATTCTGGAGTGAGTTAGATGAGGTGATGGAGAGTATTCCCAGAGGGGAGAGAGTGGAGATTGGGGCAGACTTTAACAGGCACGTTGGTGAGGGGAACAAAGTTGATGAGGAGGTGATGGGCAGGTTTGGTGTTGAGGGAAGGAACCTAGAAGGACAGATGGTGGTGGGCTTTGCTAAGAGGATGGAAATGGCTGTAGTTAACACCTATTTCCAGAAGAGGGAGGAACATAGAGTTACATATAAGAGTGGAGGTGGAGTACGCAGGTAGACTACATTCTATGTAGACGAGGCAATGTGAGAGAGATTAGTGACTGAAAAGTGGTGGTAGGAGAAAGTGTAGCCAGACAGCATCAGGTGGTGTGTAGGATGACCCTGGTGCTCAGGAAGAGCAGAGATGAGGATGTTGAGGTTCTCTTTAGGAGTGACCAGGATGGACAGGATTAGGAATGAGCACATCAGAGGGACAGCTCAGGTCAGTTGTTTTGGGGACAAGGTCAGAGAGGCCAGATCGAGATGGTTTGGACATGTGCAGAGGAGGGATAGTGGTTATACTGGTAGAAGGATGTTGGAGATGGAGCTGCCAGGCAAGAGGTCAAGAGGAAGGCCAAAGAGGAGATATATGGATGTGCTAAAAGAGGACATGAAGTTAATTTGGGTGAGAGTAGAGGATGCCGAGGATAGAGTTAGGTGGAAACAGATGATTGGCTGTGGTGACCCCTAACGGGAACAGCCGAGAGAAGAAGAAGAAGACGAAGAAGAAGAAGAGGTGTTTTTGCTGGATCCTTCTGGCTAACGTTAGTGTTGGGGACATATTAAGAGAAAAAAATGAAAGAAGGAAATTTTTTTAATGTGCATGTCAAGAACAAAGTTTAAATGTCTAGGATAAAGTCAAACTTTAACATTTCTACTTTTTCTGTAAATAGTATTTGGAAATTATTCTTCAGGTTACTTTTGACGACATGCAAAATATACATTTTAAAACTTCCTCATTTTATTTTTCCGCTTACTGTTTCCCTAATACTCCACTGTAGAAATGACTGAGTCCTGTACCATATTAGAGTATCCTACACCAGGATACCATCTTATTCTGCAAACAAACCAGTGAACACCACAGTGTAAAAGCACTACATCCAAAGCTTTTACTTATGAGTTTCATCCAGTCTTACAAAACATTTTGAAAACTTGTTTAATGCAGTATTTTTACACTGTGGTACTGCTACTTACTGTAAGTAAATGATCAAACTATTTCATCTACCACTGACAAAGGTTGATCTGCTCTAAATAGAAATCCTGATTTTCAGAGGAGCTCCTGCTGACAACTAGTGAATGTATTTTTTTTAAATGCAGTGGAAACACAGTGTTGGATAAATGTTCTTAGTTACTTTAAACCTCTGTAAACAACACACTCACACAGACTCCTTCAGTGCCGTTTATTCAGTAGATTGGTCAAACAGCTCTAATTTCAGCTTGGTGACGTCTAGGTTTTTCCTTTCACACCTGATTTATTTTTCTGCTCTCTCCACAGACGAGAATACAGATCTCGACAGTTCAGTTAAAGCAGCATCTGTACAGTTTCATGAGGAGGTGAGTGATGTTTGTCTCTAGTTTCTACACCTGCTGTTGTCCATTCTTTCTCTGAGCACTTGAAACCATCTGAGAATACTATAAAATAATGGTGCTGTATAGTGTGTGGATGCAGGCATGTTCAGGTTTTCTGGAAATGTGCTCAGTGAAGAAAACAGCTTTGCTGGGTCTGGTGTCTGTGGTGAATAGGGCAGGTTACTGACTAAGCAGGCTTTCATTTAATCAGAGTTTGAACCAAGGCAGAAAAACAAGCACAGACACCTTAAAAAGGTTTTAGGGTTTTTTTTCTTAGTGATCCTGGTCTCAAACGTCTCCTGCCAAATGGCTTCGTTCCTGGTTTTATGTACAGACATGTCCTCAAACTGGAAATTAAAAATAAACTCAAGTAAAGCCACTTCAACTGTAATCATTTCTGGAGGTGAAAGGAAAACCAGTTTAAACAACATTTATGTGCATTAGTTCACTCTGTAGCGAGGCCGTGTCAAAAACAAAATGTGAAACTAACTTGAGCTAAATTTACATCATCAGAGCACGAAGCTTGCAGCATTATTAGTTCAACGCTGTACAGTTGATTAGTGAATTTGATGGAAAATGAATGAGCAGTAATTTTGATAATTCTAGAGCAAAACATCTCGATATTCACTGGTTCCAGCTGGTCAAATATGAAAACCTGTTTTCTTTGGCCTGTTATGATCTTATGATAAATTCTTTTTGTACAGTTTGCAGACAAAACAATGAATCAAGTAAACAATTGGCAGATTAACTGGTAAACCAGTCCCACACACTACCAGTCAAAAGTTTGGGCACATTTTTCCCACTGAATTGAATGGTGTGTGTGTGTGTGTGTGTGTGTGTCCAAACCTCTGACTGGTTTAAACCCAAAACACCTGGAGTTTGATGACTAAGTCCAAATTAGAAGGTGAGTAACATATTTAATTTCAGTGCCACCAGTGTCTTTTATTTACATCAGAGAAGGTGTCGTTTCTCCAATACTACTGTCTGGTTAAGGGAAGTTGGATTTGATTTTCCACAACTGAGCTGAACCTTAATCAGATACAGTACCGTCCCTGTGAGGCAAAATGGTTCTGTAGGATTTAACTTCTGCTAGCAACATTTTAAATCTGCTGCACATGATTGTAAATAAAATAATTACTAGACCTTTATTATAATTAGGTGGAAATAAATCTCCTGTTAACCTCGAGAGTGAACAGTGTAAAATGCTTGTGCAGCACCGCCTCTGTTCTCAGGCCTGAACCTGCAGCTGAATGATACAGGAGCTGTGCAAATCATTTGCTCCCAAACTAAAAGTCAGTGCACACCACAAGACCGCGTTTGACCTTCAGAGATGTAGTTACAGCCATAACCACAGGAGGGCAGCAGTGGCACATCTACTGAGGAGCTATAGGCTTAAAAATACTTTGAACCTTGAAACTAAACTGTTTATTGGCATGTTGGAGTAGGTTTCCAGCCACCTGAAACAGAGAAGTCCTCCTCTTAGCTGTAATCCTGTGGCTGTCATGTGGGCTGAGTTTGTGACCAGGAACAATGACCAAACATCAGGCTGGCTAAAGATGAACAGACCTTTCCTACCTGCTGATTTTAAAGTAATTTCTACCACAGGTCAGTACAAACCACAAGACATTGTTACAGTTCTATAGTTTTCCATAATGCTAGGCTCTTAAACAGCAGAGACCAGGGAGGAGCAGCAGTGTGTTGTTAGGGTTTCATCCAGGTCAGAGGAGGGATAGCAGCGTTGGCATCGCAGTAATAATCACTGTCCTCAGGTAGGGCCGGCTTCTTCTTCTCCCTCTCCTCGCTGTCGGAGTCGTCCACCGTCGGTGTGATGAGAGAGTTGCACTTCCTGCCAGTGGACAGTGTAGCGTTAATGTGGTGACCTCTGCTGCTGTGTGGGGGTTCAGACATGTTACAGTGCCTCTTGAATTTGTGTATATTCAGAACTTAGCCTCAGGTTAAACCTCTCATCTGAATTATGACAGAGTGACAGAGCGAAGCACCCGTCATTCTGAAAGATCTCATTCAGCATCTGTTCTGGAGCTTTTGATCGTATCACACTATCTTCCTCAGCAGGTGTCCATAAAAACAGACATTTGAGCAGCTTTATTTCCATCTGCTGAGGAAGCTCATGTGATATGACTAAGAGGTCCAGAACATTGTTTGAGTGGAAGGATTTCATGACTATTCAGTGTGTGGACAATTTCTCTTTTTCTTCCTAAATGGATGTTTTGTCCTGCACCTGTTCCCAGGTGGACATGCTCACTTTTTTTTTTAAATTAAGAACATTGTGTACTCCAGATGGTTAGAAAAGCACCTGGAAAAAAGGCAATAAAATGTGCATATCCAGGCCTCACTGGGCACAGGTGCAGGGCAGTAACATCAACTAAGAAGAAAAGAGAAACTGTCTGCACACTAATCTTGGATAGATTTATTATTGTACACATTAATGCAGTGTAGTCTAATAAGCCTGTTTGTTGGATCAGTGTGCGGACAATTGTTCTTGTCAGAAGATTTGAAGAGGAGCAGTGACTTTTGTTCAGCATGCTTCTCTTTCTGATGTAATGTCTTTTACTCCACCCTACAGTTTGTAGTCTGGCTGGAGATGGAGGGTGGAGCAAGCTTCTGCTGGAGCTCAGGTGAGACACCTCAGTGTCCTCTTTCAAAACTCTCTGCAAGACTTTTCAACTCAGCTTTAAAAAGAACAGCTTCAGTAGGTTTGGTGTTCTAGTCATGTGATTAGTCAGTCTGATATCACAGTATCAATAACTTCTTCAAGAAGGTGATCACGTTTTGTTTCCATTCATACTGTTGATTCAGCTGTGATCAGTGTGGAGGCTGGAGTGGTGTTAGCCTAGTCTCAGTGATAGAAATTGGGTGGAGAGAACAGAACCAATTGCCTGTATAATGCAGCACAAACTCCAGCCTCCACCCTGATCACAGCTGAATCAACAACCTGAACATGATCACCTTCACAAGGAGGAATTATTTGTTTGGGCTTGGTGCCAGCTCAGTGTACTTTATGTTGAGGGAGCTACTAGTCACTGTAACCCTTCCTCTTGTCCACACTGGCTCTGAAGTGACTCCTTTGCAGCAGCCAAGGGGACAAAATCCTCAGTGAAGCTGATTTAAAGCTAATATGAGGCCTCAGCAGTCTGACTTGCATGTGCATCTGTTAGAGATACTATCTTTAAGTATGTCTCTCTCACACAATCTCTACAGGTTCCTTGGTGAGCCATGAATGAGCGTATGTCCTGGTGATGTGCATGGATTGATAGAGTTTTCTAGATAATGTGTTTTCCCCACATAAAAACTGGTCTAAATGGTCAATATCCAGCTTAGCAGCGAGATGCCTTGCATCAAACTAGGCACCCCCTTTTTCTTGCTAAGCTGCGTTACCAATAGTAGAAACCAGTACAAGTTGGCGCTCCTTGGTGTGTGACGTTGCAGTGAGACATGAGAACACATTATGTAGAGAACTCTTTTACTGGTTTCTGCTATTGGTTAACGCAGCTTAGCAAGGAAAAGGGGGTGCTTGGGTTGAAAAAGCTTCCTGATGTTGCTATCGCTTGGGATTGCTACATCTATCACTACGGTCTTCTTCCTCCGTTTGTCCACCACTACTATGTCCGGTTGGTTGGCCATTACCATTTTGTCAGTTTGTATCTTGAAGTCCCACAGGATCTTAGATTGGTCATTCTCAACCACCTTTGGAGGTGCATCCCATTTTGACATTGGGACTTCCAGCCTGTACACTATGCCAGCCACTTGATTATGGCGTTCCATGTATGCCCTACCTGCTAGCATCTTGCACCTTCCTGTTATGTGCTGGATTGTCTCAGGGGCATCTTTGCACAGCCTGCACCTGGGGTCCTCCTTGGTATGGTAGACCCTGGCCTCCATTGATCTTGAGCCTGTTCTTGTGCTGCCTGGATTAGTGCCTCTGTGCTGTCTTTCAGTCCAGCTTTGTCCAGCCACTTCTACTATTTGATGGTGGTACATACCGTGTAGAGGTTTGTCCTTCCATGAGGGTTCCTGCTCTTCCTTTCCTTGTTCCTCTGGTTTCTGCTGCCTGAGGTATTCACTAAGCACATTATCACTCGGGGCCATCTTCCTGATGTATTCACGGATCTTTGTTTCATCCTGGATAGTGGCTCTGACACTCACTAATTCTTGGTCTCCTTCCTTCCACTTAGTGTACAGTCTCAGGATCCTGGACTTGGAGTGAAACCCACCGTGCATTGTAAGGAGCTTCCTTGTCTTGATGTCAGTGGTCTCTATCTCCTCCTTTGGCCAGCTTATTATGCCAGTGGGATACCTGATGACCAGCAGGGCGTAGGTGTTAATTGCCCGGACTTTGTTACCATTCAGCTGGCTTCTCATGACTTGCCTTACTCTCTGCAGGTACTTGGTGGTTGCTGCTTTCCTTGTGGCCTCTTCATGGTTCCCATTTGCCTGCAGGATCCCAAGGTACTTGTAGCTGCCCTCAACATCTGCTCTGTTGCCTTCTTGTGCAAACGGATTTGACAAAAACCAGGAAGTAAGCTACAGGCTACGTAATGTTGCCATGGATACACTGTGTTGTGAATGCCGTTTTTAGCCTGGGCTATATTTGTTTATGCTTTGAAACACTAAGTATGCCATTTTAGCTACTGATGGTTCACTTTTGCTATGCACTATCGGATGTACTGACAGCTATCACTGAATTACTGCTGAAGAATTTGATAAACCCTGATTATTTTCAGACTAGGTTTTAAAGCATTCTAACCCCTGCATTATCTCAAGAAAAACATTTCATAATAGTAAGTTAGAATTGCAAGGTAAGATTCTCCTTTTTTGCTTTGGTGAATGCAATCTGCTGTAGCTCTAAAGCTCCCTAATGTTGTTTCTGTTTAATCTATACAAAAATCAAGAACAACAGAAACTATGTGCAGGAGACAGTGACTTCCTGGAGTCTGTTACTTGCAAACTTCACAGATGATAAACCTCCAGGAAACCATTGAATCTGGTAAATGATAATGAACTTTATTTAATAGCGCCTTTACTAAGCTCAGTTCCAGGTGCTTTACAAAATAAAGAAGAAATACAAGCCATCGTCTAACCATTAACCTCTGTAAAACCATCTTATCTAATTTTGGTAAAGTGAATAAGTGTATTTTCTTAAATAGTGAGATGACTGAGAAAAACAGAGGATGAGTAGGATGGATTGTCACCGTAGTTTGAAGACATGCTTCTTTTTCTTGTAGCTAGTGAGGATCTCCCAGCTGGCATTACCGATGGACAGGGGGTCCTCACTATGATATGTAACTCCATGGCTAAAGTTTTTGGCATCCTTATACGCTGAGGGCAGGCCTGACTAACACCTGCTGACATTGATATGGCGGGTTGGGGGGTCGATTCTTTGACAGGGCACAGTATCAATGTGGGCCCTTAGCAGGGAGAGATGCCTTGCATCAAACCAAGCACCCCCTTTTCCTATATAGTATGTAGTAAAAATGGGGTCTGACCACTTCTCAAAAAATATGCCTTACTATAGGTTCAAGGATTTTATATGCAGGACATACAGAAAATCAAAATACCGTTTCTCACCTAGTATTGGGCACCATAATATTTAGGAACTCAAATAGAATAAAGTAAAATAAAAATAGAATAAGAATTGGATTGACATAATTAGGATAAATCTAAACTGTACAGCCAATAGGCTGTGACTCAAAACCGTGTACAGTCAGTGACAGTAGTGCAAACAATAATAGGAGATTGTCAGATGGTTCAGCATCACCAGGGCGATGGTGATGATATACAGTCTTATGCAAAAGTTTAGGCACCCCTTGATAAATAACAGATTTTGGTGATTTTTTATTTGAACAGATGTTAACACAGTTTTTCTTGGAAATGGAAAAAATGCACAATATGTTCAGCAAACAGTGATGCATAGTTACTTCTTATGCCATAAATTGAACAAAAATAAAAAATAAAAACATTATTATGGCATGGTGCAAAAGTTTGGGCACCCTACACAATCAGTACTTAGTAACACCTCCTCTGGCAGATATCACAGCTTGCAAACACTTTTCATAGCCAGCTAAAAGTCTTTCAATTCTTGTACTTGGGATCTTCTCCCATTCTTCCTTGCAAAAGGCTTCTAGTTCTGTAATATTCTTTGGTCGTCTTGCATGCACAGCTCTTTTAAGATCTACCCACAAATTTCCAATGATGTTTAAATCAGGGGACTGTGATGGCCATTCCAAAACCTTCAGCCTGCGTCTCTTGAGGTATTCCATAGTGGATTTCGAGGTATGTTTAGGATAATTGTCCTGTTGTAGAAGCCATCCTCTTTTCAGCTTCAGCTTTTTTACAGATGGTGTGATGTTTGCTTCCAGAATTTGCTGGTATTTAGTGCAATCCATTCTTCCCTCCACCCGTGCAATGTTTCCTGTGCCACTGGCTGCAACACAACCCCAGAGCATGATAGATCCACCCCCATGCTTAATAGTTGGCAAGGTGTTCTTTTCATGAAATGCTGCTCCTTTTTTCTCCAAACATGCCTTTGCTGATTGTGTCCAAAGAGTTCTATTTTAACTGCATCAGGCCACAGCACTTGTTTCCAAAACGCATCGGGCTTCTGTAGATGTCCTGTTGCATACTTCAGACGTTGGATTATATGATGGGGACGCAGGTAAGGTTTTCTTCTGCTGACTCTTCCATGAAGGCCTTGTCTGTGCAAGCATCGCTGCACAGTGGAACGGTGCACCACCACTCCTGAGTCTGCTAAATCTTCCTGCAGGTTTTTTGCAGTCAAATGGGGGTTTTGATTTGTCTTTCTGACCAGCATACGAGCAGTTCTGTCCGAGAGTTTTCTTGGTCTTCCAGATCTCATCTTGACCTCCACAGTTCCCCTGATCTGCCATCTCTTAATTACATTTCTTACTGTGGAAACTGCAAGCTGACAACGCTTTGCTATCTTCTTGTAGCCTTCTCCTGCATTGTGGGCATCAATAACTTTCATTTTCAGGGTCTTACACAGCTGCTTAGAGGAACCCATGGTTGCTGGGTGTCCACAAGTGTGTGCACAAGGTTTGAAGAGTCAAAGTATTTGTACAGCTTTGAAATTGGCATTTACCAATGACAGCTGTTGCTGTGCATCAGATCTAACGAGCTGATTAAGGTCTGAAACCTTGTGAGAGACTTTGAGACTCTGGAACTCTTAGGGTGCCCAAACTTTTGCACCATGCCATAATAATGTTTTTATTTTTTATTTTTGTTCAATTTATGGCATAAGAAGTAACTATGCATCACTGTTTGCAGAAAATATTGTGCATTTTTTCCATTTCCAAGAGAAACTGTGTTAACATCTGTTCAAATAAAAAAATCACCAAAATCTGTTATTTATCAAGGGGTGCCTAAACTTTTGCATAAGACTGTAGTATGTGGTAAAATTGGGGTCTGACTCTTTATGTAGAAAACATGAGAACACATTATGTAGAGAACTCTTTTACTGGTTTCTGCTATTGGTTAACGCAGCTTAGCAAGGAAAAGGGGGGTGCTTGGGTTGAAAAAGTGCTTTGAGACATCCTTGGTGGAGGAACAAGCAAATAAGGGAACAGACCTTTTTCACAGCAGCAGGTAAATAACAATGGCCCAGTTACACCTATGCTTTTCTTGTTATGATTGTCTCCCCCCATCTAACCTCTCTCTCCCTGTCTCCCCCTTGACTTACCTGTCTCCGCTCTGTGACATGAGTCTCCTGCAGGTCTCCATCTGAACGTCCAGCCCTCTCTTCATCGAACACATCTCCATGTACTCGTGCAGGTGACGGTTCATGTCACTTTTCGCTGTGGCCAGTTCCAGCTGACAAGACAGAAAACACATTAATACTACTTTATGAAGAGCTCCTAATAAAAGTTGTCATATTTACTGCCGAGACTGTTCCAACAACAACCTCTGTGGAAACCACTTAATGTTTACTGCCGAGACTGTTCCAACAACAACAACCTCTGTGGAAATAAATACACTGGAAAGAAACACCTCACCTCTATCTGGTCAATGGTGTCCTGGTACTCCTTCTCTCTGGACTTGAACAGAGACTCGGTGTCTTTAATCACTTCCTCTATGGACTCCTCCTGTAGCTGGACACAGCAAGAATCGTGTCGGTTTATGCAGTGACAGTCTGGCATCAGTATTTCTCAGGAAGCGGGCTGCTCAGAAAGTATAAACAATAAACATTGTAAAATAAATGCCTGTGGGGTTTTCTCATTAGTTTGTCCATTTCTTGAAAATGACTTGTGATATCACAGAATTTGCCACAGTTCTTTCTGCTTCCAGGAAACATTTACTTTACCAAACTAAAATCAACCCTATCTGCTATAGTGACTCTACAGTCAGGTATTCAAACTAAAATACACTATTAGGACAAGCACCAACATTCAACCTGAGTAAAGGTCTGAGGAGCCACGATAACTGACAACACCTGGGTGAATACTATATGGAAGACTGATGACAGACTGCCTGCATTTTGCATCAAGGCAACCAAACAATGTGAATTATCACAACCTGAGGAGTTGTTCCAACAGGGGCAGTGCTCATAAACATTCCTATAAATCTACTGAGATCATCAGAATGCTCTTTTACATGTGCAGACTGATATTAGTAAATCAACCCTGCAAACTAGTCCATAAATAATAATAGTCATGGCTTTCAACTGACAATTATTCCCACAGTTGTTTCACTGTAAAAACAACTGACAGAACTTTCCACATCTTTAGGTTACTGACTGTATGTTGCACTAAAGGAAAAAAAATTATAAATGACTTGGGTCCAACCAAAACGTTGAAGAGTAAACAGGAAAGCAACAATTCTCACATGTGAGCAGCTGGAATCGACTAGATTAACATTTAAATGATTAATGACATCTTCCCTACATGACCATATCATTTTGCCACTAACATTAAGTCAGTTGTTGGCATCGGACATAAGCCTGATCAATAACAAGTCAGCTCAGTTTGTACATGTCAACAAAACTAATCTGCCAACACCCGTGCATGTGAACAGGCTCTTAATCTGTTTTCGTTTCCCTGCAACTAATTTCAGATCTTTACTAAACAGGTACTTGGCCTCTTCTGGATTATCTGCTTAAAACCAGTTTACAGGTCACCAGGACAGACTCGACCCATGTGCATCAGACTGAACTCGGCAACAAATGCAACAACCTGCTGCAGAGAATGGCTTAAAAACAGCTCGTCTGGTCAGGTCAGCAGACCTGTACGAAGGTGGACGAGGAACACTACATGAGCTGTAGGAACAGTTTCCTACCTGGAAATGCCTGATCTACAACTTCAATCAAACTTTTAACTCTGATAACATTTTAAAGCTTCTTTAAATTCCTTTAAAACTACTCAAATTAAAGCATTGGTGCAATAGCTGTTATTTCATTGCAAACAATGTGCTACAGCGCAGCCTCAAGAACAAGAAAACATCTGTCTAAACACTTCCTGTCCACACAGGAGCTACTGTTCTGATTAGATGAGTCAATCATTCAGTCTTTGATAACAAATCATTTATCAGGAAAAAGTACCAAACATTCTCAGTCCAGCTTGTAACATGCGAGGATGTGCTGCTTTCCTTTGTTACTGTGAAATGACATTTCTTTGATACAAAGAAATGTCACTTTGGATTCCCAGACTTTGAAGCTATTATTGATAATGAAAATAATTAGTAGTTGCAACACGACATCCAACTCAGAGACCTCTGACGTGTCATGTCTTTCACATTTCCCATATCTACTATCTACACAAATGAACCCGTGTGTGTGTGTGTGTGTACCTCTCCCTGCGTTTCCACTCCCAGTGTGTATCCAGGGAAATCTTCCCACAGCAGAAGAGTTTCTTCTGTCTCCTCCCAGGCCAGACTGTCACAGTCATCCTCAAACTCGCACTCCCTTCTGGAAAACACATGACCATCAGACACGTCAGCTACAGGGTGAGGTCATGTTAGTATGGGGAAACATCACTGGTCGAAAAACACCTACAGCTGATTCAGCATCTTCTGCATCTGCTCGTTGAGCTGACTGGCCGATGCGCCGCCCAACTCCTCATCTTTAGACCCACCTCCCTCGCTTTCAGACATGCTCAGCTCGTCTCCGTCCCCGCCCTTTGCTGACTGTCCACTGTGCTTCCTGGTCCGCCGGTTCAGAGTGGATGGGGGTGTGGCCACCTGCTGAGGGTGAGACAGGTTTATTTGAAGCGGAGGAGGCCAATTCGTCGAGGACGCTCATCGGCACAGACGTACCTGGAGGATGTGAATCATGTCCTCACAGTTCCTCTGCTGGGCGACGTCACAGAGACGAGCAGTGATGTCGATACGGCGGCAAATATCCATGTCCACCTTCATGGCCTTCTCCTGGATCTTACTATCCAGATCTGACAAGTTCTGAGGAGAGATGAAAAAGGTTCTTCTTCTTCTGCTCTGATGTAACAGCTTTGGGGAGGAAGCTGCTAACTGCTCTCTGAGGTTACAGATTTCTGACTAGGTTATGAAGGAAACCTACCATTAATTATCATATGTACAGCCGGATGTTATTTTATTTGAATGACAGAAAATAAAAATATTTAAATGTGTTTATGCAAACCTAAATGAACAAAGGACACTGTGGATCAACAGAGAAGAATGCAAATCCCACCGATAAACTTTTCTGTCAAACATTCTTCATACTTGGTTTTCATAAGGAAAAATAAAGGACTTACATTACTGACGAGTCCTTTGAAGAGAACAAGCTCTGCCTTCAGCTGCTTCACCCGAAGAGCCAACTCATCCTGACACACCTCGCTCTCCTGCAGGTCCTGCAAAACACACATAGGAAGCTGCTGCATGTCTCATACAGAGAATGTTTCTGATAGTAACTGTTACACCTGTGTGCAAATTTATGCATCTGTGTATTCAGTTTTACCATCAGAAGGTTCATAAACTATTTTATGCTTTAAAAATGGAAGCTGCGGCTACACAACAGATGTTTGGAGAAAATCCTGGGACAGATGTCTGAGACTTCACCCTAAGGGTGGATCCACTGTGCAAAGAACATTCGCTAGAAAATTGTTGTATAATTGTATCTTATTATAGCCTTGTATATAACAAAGAAAAACATAAATCATTTTATATTAAAAGCAGGCACACATGGCAAATGGAGTGTTTTCCATGTGAAGGCCACATGTCCTATATAATACCCTGTGGGATAGAGAGGACGCGCCTACCACCTGGACTGACTGGTACCATGTGAGGGTGTGTACACTAAGTGTATGTGGTTGTAATAGCACTTTACCTCCTCCAGTTCTGCCATCTTCTCCTGCAGGTCCATTCTGGCTGTGTACTCTTCCTCCCATCTAGAGTCACACAAACATGGAATTACATGGAGGATTGTGCAGAAAACAACAGTTTAGCATAATCACATCTTTGCTGGAGCTGCAGAAAGATTTGTATCCATATTTTAACATCTGTATCAAGAAGCTGCCACTACTTCACACGCATACAAAAATAATCTGAGAACAATCACTGGTCCGGTTAAAGACTCAAAATTTTCCAGATGTTTCCTGGATTTAATATGACAACTGTATAGTTACCTTTATTCCATCGGATTATATTCAACTCAGTTAATACATTTTTGTTTCATTTAGTTAAAAAAAAACCTGCACTCTCCACTGTGCGTTTTATGAAAAGGTCGGAGGTCATTGTTGGCAACTAGAATGGCTTTAAACTTTAAAAGTTCCTCTTTCAAACTCTGAATTGCACAGACTGGTTTCCAGTGCAATGCACCTCACTACTGGAATGAGTTTCAACACAAAGTGAAATTAGAGGCACTTCTCTCTTCTGAGGTACTTTATAGAGCATATAACCCCAATATTATTTGTGACTATTTTTTGGATGATTGATCCCGGTAAGATCCATCCATCCATTATCTATACCACTTATTCCTGAATAGGGTTGATGGGGGGCTGGGGCTAATCCCAGCTGGCATAGGGCGAGAGGTGGGGTCCACCCTGGACAGGTCACCAGTCTATCACAGGGCTGACACTTAGAGACAGACAATAGTCATACCATGCTCACTCCTACGGGCAATTTAGAGTCACCAGTCAACCTAAGCTGCATGTTTTTGGACTGTGGGAGGAAGCCAGAGAGAACCCATGCAGGCACAGGGAGAACATGTAGACTCCACACAGAACTGGGAACCTTTTTGCTGTGAGGCGACAGCGTTAACCAGTAAGATGTCCTGACTAAATAAAGCTTAACCAACTGAACTAGAAGTCTGACTGTTCCAGTCTTCGGTGTTATGTTTGACTGTCAAACAGCAGCAGCAGCATCATATGAACATTACTCCATCTTGGGATGGACTTTGACTGAGTTGATGCATTTAGTTGAACACCTTTATCACATCCGCTAAATCGTTCTGCCTTTGTTCCATTTTTATGACCCACCCATCCCACTAACTCCGCTCAGTCAGGCTGCACTAATATGAGATCATGTCTTTGCTGGACGACCTCCGATCAAATTGCTTTCACCTCGACAGAGACAACTCCCAATCTAAGAGTAAAGCACAAGTCATGTTGAGGTTAAAAGCATTTAGTGAAATGTGTCTCCATGCAGATTTTTGCTGTTTCTATTGCTAAACATCAGATGTGTGTCACATATGGGGGAGCTCAAATCAGAATTGGTTTGATTTCATCTGCAGTGACCAAATCCAGAGAGACTCAGACACAGATGTGACAGCTGGAGAGAGAGAGGGTGTTACGGAGAGGATGCTGATGTGTTTGTCAGTCTCAACACACGGCTCTGCAGTGAGGCCGCTGGGGGTCATTACGTTTGACTGCATATACACCGCAGCTGGTTTATCTCTATAACACATGACATCCTAACTTCTGCGTGATAGCGTTGGCCTGTATAACCAACTTCATCACCTGATAAATTACACTAGCCATGGTGTTTTATTGTGAGAATCTTCCTGCACTCCTGAGCTGTGAAGTCATGGAGAAGATGTCAACCTAAAATGTCCTCTGCAGAAATAGCTCACCACTGACTTAAACTACATTTCAAACAGCCTGTGTTTAAATACAGAGCCAGGAGGTTGTGGTCCACCCGAAGGACAAAACACCCAGACATAAACAGAGTGATGTGGTGTATGCAATTAAGTGTAGTCAGGAGTGTAAGTACATTGGTGAAACTAAGCAGTCGCTGCACAAACACATGGCCCAACACAGGAGGGCCAACTCCAGTGGACCAGAGTCAGCAGTCCACCTCCACCTGAGGGACAAAGGACATTCTTTTGAGGACAGTGACGTCCAGATCCTCTCCAGAGAACATCGTTGGTTTGAGAGAGGAGTCAAAGAAGCTATTTTTGTCCAAATAGAACACCCCTCACTAAATAGGGTCGGTGGACTAAGACACAACTTGTCATCCATCTATAACTCTGTTTTGAGATCTCTGCCCAAACATGCCCACCAGGACAATAGGTGTCGCTCCACAGGTGAGGGTTCAAAGACAGGTAACAACGCTCACCGATACTGGGCTATAACAACTCAGTCGTTAGGGGACACTGTTGGGCATCAAAGGACTGAAACACCACCGATGGGGATAAATATCTCCAACTCAACGCCAGTTGGGCAGAACTGATGAAACCTCTTGGATGAGAGGTGAAACATCTTCGACCTAAAAACCGAGTCCAGTTGATTTTTTTCCATGTTTTTTCAGGAGGTTGTGATGCACCAACAGTCAGTGCTGAGCTCCTATAAGCAGGACAATGATATTTAATCTAACCCATGTAGTTTAAGTTACCTAACCTTAATCAGACCGAGAAGTTGATCAGAAAATGCTGTGTGGGTCCCAGCAGATGCTAAACTAAGCTAAGCTAATTACCTTCAGGCTCTAGCTTGAGTGGTGTTAATGTAAACTCCTTAAACTCTCAGGCCTGATCACAACACAAAGGAAGCCTCTTCAGTAGCTGGGCTGAGGCCTCTTGGATGAGAGGTGAAACGTCTTCGATGTAAAAAACCTAGTCCAGTTTATTTTTTTTTTTTTTTTTTTTTAGCTTACTATGACCTGGATGACTGAGAATCTGCATGGACTTCAGTAGCTGGCTGCCTGGAAGGAGGCATCTTTAAATAACTATAAGTGGCCTGCTTGACCCTGATCAAGGCCGCAAGGTGAAATGCACTGCTTGTTCTTTATACTGCTAAAGTTTACTGCAGTTTTCAGACTTTCCAACATCTGTTGATAATACACTAAAACTACCAGTATGTAAAACCAGCTGTATATTCCTTTTAATACAGTAACTGGGGCTAAATATGACTGGACACGCAGCATGGGTGGTCTCTATATACAAGGCAATTAAGACTCGCTCCCTGTTTCCCACAGACACACACAAACACTGTGACTCTCTGCGCCCTCACACTACATCTCCTAGGAGTTGATATGGGTAAGTGAGTGTTATTAAGAGTGTGAGCATTTAAGCCTGAAGAGATAATACAAGTGTCCTGTCCTGCTTCAGCATGGCAACACCCACATGCACAAATTCATCTTCACCCCCCCCCAAAAAAAAGCTTTCCAAGTCTGGTACAGAAGAACTGGTCTGCACAGAGACCCGACCTCAACAACCACAAAGACCCCATCCACCACAAAGAAGGTTTTGAAGTTATGTGTTTGAGGATGAAGATGAAAGTGATGATGAGGATGTCAGCACCTGTCTGGCCCTGCAGAGGCTCACGTGGGACATATGGGTGCAGACAGAATGACAGAGATGGATGAGTCAGCAGCAAACTAACTGAGAAAGACGGCTGTAGAGTACAAGACTGAAAAAAGAAAGAGACAGAGTAGAGAGAGAGCTGTGTAAGACAGAGAGTATGAGTCTGGGGTAAAAGATAAATGGAGAGGAGACAGAGGGGGAGATGGTGGACTGAATGACATCACTGTTGGCAGTCACAGGCCGGTGCTGCATTGCACCAGGACAAACCAAGCAGAGAGGATGAGGAGGAGGGCAAGAAGGAAGAAGATGGAGAGAATCCAGAGATGGAAAAAGAGAAACTCAAGTAAATCAGATGATGTGAGATAAGAACAGCAGTCCGCAGACAAGCAGGCACATTATCAGTCTCAGCAAAATGAAAGCACTGCTCCTTTAATTTTACAGAAAAAAACTGTCTCTGTATTATATTAATATTTGAAGCAATCCTCATGTTGTAATGTCTGTTTGCTTTTAGGTCAATTTACTTCTTTTCACTTACAACAATTATGACTCTCAACTTCCTTGAATTAAAAACGCAGTGCCAGGCTTGTTGGCACTCACTTGAAAACGGACAACCCAAAAGCAAAATGTCAGAGATCACAAACCTCCTTTTACGCATTAATTTCACTGGCTCACAGCAGTGTAAACGAGGCTGAGTTAAAGTCTAAATCTTCCCCTGAAAAAGTGCAAAACTAACTAGAATGACTCATTACTGACTTTATACTAAATAAATCAACATTTTGCTGCTTTAGGAGATGGGTCCTGTGGGCATACCCTGGCAGTGACAGCTCACCCTGTGCTTGATGCTGCCTAGAGGCAGGGTACACCCTGGACAGGTCACCAGTCACAGGGCTGACACAGGCAGACAACCACTCACAGATACAGGCAGTTTAGAGTGACTAGTCAACCTGAGCTGCATGTCTTTGGACTGTGGGAGGAAGCTGGAGTATCCAGAGAGAACTCACACAGGCACAGGGAGAACATGCCAACTCTGCACAAAAAGACCCCGGAGGGCCGCAAGGTTCAAACCGGGAACCTTCTTGCTGTGAGGCGAGGCTGCGCCACTGTGCTGCTCCTCAACACAAGTCTCAGTCAGTCCCAGAGGAGCAGCTGACCTGGCCTGAACAAACCCTACATAACGCTTTAATCTTCGACAACCCCTGCAAGCCTGTTTCCTGGGTGCAACACCCCATCGAATATTAATATCACAACAATACTCTGATAATGATCATCACGAAGCACTGTGACACTTTGATTTGTTGCCATTTCCTGGGGAAAATGTGATCTCGCATCTATATGACACACGACATGCTACACACCAGAGCTCAGCCAAGAGTTATTGAATATCAGTGACTGTATGTGTTGTGATGAATGGAAAGACTCTGACCACAGCAACAGGAAGAACAGTTTACAACATCTGACATGAGGCCAATAGCTCGGTGTTATCATCGTATCAGCTGTGAGTGACGCTGTATCATGTTACAAAAAATCTGTAACCTCTTCAGGGTTAACTTCAGGGTTGACCTCTTAACTTTGGTCAATCTAATTAAAAACAAATAAAATCTGTCATTTAGAGCTTTTGTTTTACATATGAGAAGTTTTTTTCTGATGTAAAACAATGTTTTTCAGCATTAAATCTAATAATTTTATATGTGATTTTGCATACACTCTCCATATTATGATGTATAAATGTATTCTTATCAGGGCACCAACTAACAATTATTCACATTATTGATTAATCTGCAGACTATTTTCTTGATGAATGCAAAAAATGCCAGAAAGTAGAAATTCTAAAAATTTCCCTCAGTCCAAGGTCATCTACTTTTAGATTTTTTAAATCGATCCAACAGTTTATGACCCAAAAATGTTCAGTCATACATGATATGATCATATATGACAAAGGAAAACAGCCAGTCTTGATACTTGAAATGCTAAAATCAGCACTTTTACTTAATGGACTATCATCCTTTTTTGTCTAGTGACCGATTAGTGAAACTGCTGCAGCTCAGTTACAGTGCTGTTAGAACACAGTGTAACAGACTCACCACCCTGACAAATATTAAAAAAAACAATTCTCATGAGTACTGACTGAACACACCACCAGCTAAACTAAAAGCTCGTGTGATCAGGACTCCAGCCATGCTTACCTTCTCTTGTACTCATCTCTTTCCTTCTTAACTTTGGCCAACACGTTGTACAGAGCCCTGACCTCGGGCGTGATGGT